AGGGTTGAGGGTTTAGGGTTCCATGGTACTGCAATTTAGGGTTTGGGAGTTTTGTTTATGGTTGAGGGTTGATTGAAGGATTGCATATGGGTTTCTTAAGGGTCTAGATGGGTTTGTATAGGATTGCAGGGTTCAGGTTTAGGATTTCGTGTTTCGGTTAAGGGTACAGGGTTTATTTAAGGCGTTTGATTATTGGTAGTTTGGTTAGGGGGTGGTCAGGAGTCCAGCACCGCGGAAGTTTTTTTTATTTAGGGTGCATTTGCGGTATAGATTGTGTGGTGTCGATGATTCAAGCGCCGAGTTTTGTATTCACCATTTTGCCTGCCTTGACCCTCGCAAATAGTTCTCCAGCTATCTATCCATCTATCCGTGAATCTGTCCACTTGTCGACCTACCTATAAGTCTATCTACCTACCTATCTGCTTATCCGTCTGTAGACAGCTATCTACTTGTCTATCTAAGCATCAAGCAGAAGTTCAAAGACCCTCGACCCGATCATCACACCTTTTGAGCCCAAAGTCGTAGTCTCTCGACCACAAGCGCTAGACACAACCCTAAACCCTAAACCCTTAACTTAAACCCTAGACCTTAAACCCTAAACCCTAAACCTTAAACCCTAAATTTTAAACCTCAAACCCCAAACTCCAACTCTGAGTCTCCAAGCCCTGATACAGGCTGTGAAGCCGGCCCCGTCTACGACCAGGGGAACTGCTCCTCCAGCACCCGGCCTTAGGGTTTTAGGGTTTAGGGTTAGGGTTTTCACGGGCTTTTGTGGAGGTACATGGAGGTTCGTGGGTAGTTAGAAGTAGGGTTATAAGGAGGGCCCACAATAATCACAGCCCATACTAGGGAACTTATAACCCCACTTATGACTACCCATGAACCTCCAAGTAGTGTGGTGTCATGTGGGTCAAAAGGGCTTCAGAGCGGTTCAGAACGGTTCCAGGGCGCCTTTTTTGCAGAGTTTGCAGGGTCCAGAGCCGGATCTGGGTCGTTTCTTTATCAGGGTGCATGACGGTTTAGGGTTTAGGGTTTAGGGTTTAGGGTTTCGGATTTAGGGTTTAGGGTTTAGGGTTTAGGATTTAGGGTTTAGGGTTTAGGGTTTAGCCGGGCTTCACTTGGCTGGAGGGTCTTGGGGCCCGTAACTTAGTTTCAGGGCCTAGGTTTAGGGGCGGGGTGTTGTGATACGAACTCTGCTCTGCATGACTTGAGGATCCCTTAGCTGGCTTGTTTTCTGGGCCCCGTCAATGTCAAAAACGGTTTAGGGTTTAGGGTTTAGGGCCATCTGCGCCTGCCATGTAGTTGAAAGTGCGTGTGAGGCCGGGGAAGTCGAGGCTTTTCTTGCTGATTACCCGTTCTTTCTGACGTGATGGCCATCAGAGCAACTTCAAAAGGACGATCATAGTGAGGACGAGAATGATAATGGCGCCTGTCCCTAGCCGTAGCCGTTATTATCCTCGTAGTGGAAGCAGGCATTACAAGCAGAAGAGTCATGTGTCTTAAGCTAGGAAGCTGTCTTGATGTCCCACTTTGTGACTCCCACTCCTCACGACCCTCTTGTGGCAGATGATGCCTAAACCCTAAACCCTAAACCCTAAACCTTGAACACATGGGTTCTGGAACAGTTTTGGTAGTGCCACGCGTTGTCGGACGATATTTCAGGCAGTCGCTCATGGACTTGGGAGTTGCAGCAACAAGGATCCAGTGTAGACCCTGACTGCAGTAGGATCCTGCGATGAATCATAGGGGCCCTTAGGGGGGTAG